TGATCCTTGCCCGAGGTAGGACTAGTTTGCGTCGGGTTAGCGCTACTCTGTGTCACCTGTTTGATGGCGACTGGGGTTCTAGAAACATAAGTTGTCCGCTTCTTTAGAAGTTCGGTGTTCTGCCCTACCTCTGTTTTTCTGTGGGTACAGACCAAAGTGTTGGAGAAGTGTGTGACGCCACCAACTCCCTAACTTGGATGTTATTGTTAAAGCAGAGTTCAATTCCCTGAAACCCACGGCATCTAATTCTTCAAACCTGTACGGACTTCCAAAAATTCACAAAATTAATAATCCACTATGACCAATATTATCAATGCATCAGTCTCCCACACACAAATTAGCTAGATGGCCAACCGAATTACTTGGCCCGATCCATAATGCTTTATGTAAGTATTCACCGAAAGATACCTTTGAATTTAGCGAGTGTCTTTCTGGTTTGAATATCGGAAATAAGAAAATGTATTCTTTTTATGTCAACTCTTTGTCTACCAGTGTGCCTCTAACGGAGACAATTAATATTCATTGCGGCTACATATCTTCTAATTATCCTCCATTCTCTGTTCCTCCAATTCATTTAATAAATAAATAAATATTTTATTTTCAAATTAACGTTTGACATGAGAGAAGCCACTTTACAGGCATCATCAAATGGATAATGGTAAAAAGATCTCCAGTGGTTGAGCTCTCCTGAATGATATAGAAGCTATCGCATCAGGGTTTATCATGATATCAAAAGTGGCTGCAGGCAGTAGAAAGAACGGGAAAATGTCACTTCAAAGTACATAAAGATCGTTTATGAGTTTTGGTTGTCTCCACTTACCATTCTTTTTTCACAATAAAGTGATACTGAAATTGTACAATGTCCGGCGTTTGCGGTGGTTAACCTTTCGGTATGCTTCCGTGTTTTGTCAGGTAAACGTCTATTTTAAAATCATTCCACATGTTTATAGTATCGTTGGCCAACGAAAACTCACTTCATTAATCTCAGGTGACAATAAGTGTTAACATAACCATATAATCCACGTGAGTATGTGTCCTCGCATTTCCCACTTGTAGTGTGACCTTACTGAGCAATACAGACGTAATCCATCAGAATTTGTTGCTGTACGAAGAAACAGGCATTTGAAGGACTATTACCCAATAGTGATAGAGTTTCGCAGCTAGAATTCACATTGAAGCATATAGCATTATCAAAGAGCTTTGTTAACTGTTAACTGTCTTCTATGAAACCGAGTCAAATGAGTTGAAGTACTGGAGAAGTTTGTTTGTGAGCATGTCTCACTTTTAGTCGATAGGTGAGTTTACTTCTTAGACTCAGTTGCTTGTACAGATTTTCGCTGCCATTGAAAGAGCTTCTTTTATTATGTACTGATGGGGTTCATTTCACGTTCGAAGGTGATCACTTTCGGCAAACTGATGGTGTGGCCATCGAGAGTCCATTACCACAGTTATTAGCCGATGTATTCACGTCACGTACTGAACTAATGGCCCAAGATTTAATCACCAAAGTCACATTCTGTAGAAGGTACGCGGATGATATCTTTGTAACATGTGACACAGATGAGGATGCCAGGAGTTTATAAAAAGGCCTAATACCGCACAACATCATATCAGTCGGACATATGAGGAAGAGAAAACCATTAGCTTGCATTTCTTGATGTACTTTTTTGCCGGAGGAAAGATGGATCTATCAGGTGATCAATGCATAGGAAGCCTACTTATAATCATAACATATTCCACAAAACATAAGCTATATGAAAACAAACCGGTTTACAGGTCTGGTCATTTTGGTGATGTGAACTAACTGTTATGTACAATATGAAGCTGTACAATGGACACCGTTCTTTCTGGTACATAAAGGACGCGTCCAGAGTAAGAACGTTAATGCTTTGCAGACAGCAAAGAATGAAACAGATAAGCACCAGTATAATTGTCCATCATACTGAGGCAAGCTCAGTTCGAAAGTAGGAAACATTCGGCTATTGCTTGAATCTTCCAATATTCTTGAGAGTAGGGCGTGTAGTACAGCTGTGACCTTGGGCTTTATGCCTTCGTCGTAGGATCCAGATGGCAGGACAGTATTGGAATTTCTACAGTTTTTGCCCGATGAAGTATAAGAGAGGCTTAGTAAGATGCAAATTCGATAGAATCCAACGCATTTGTACATCCGATAAGATGGATGGTCTGAATAAATTTCTGACAGACACTCTATCGGTAAACGGTTATCCATTACAGTTTGTCAACCATTGTAAAAAAGCAGCTAAACCAGAATCCCACAGTTTCATCGGTCCCTAAGAAAGAACGCATTTCTTAGAGTACCATAAAGAGGCGAAACGAGCAGTATGATGTTGAAGGAGATATTAAAACCTGTTTCCTGTAAAACATACTATGCAGCTCAGCTTGTTATTGTCGAGACGATAAAACACCCGCTTCTCCACGTACCTAAGCCCCGCATAATTGATCACGTCACATCCCACTGTGTTTGCCAATTTGCATGTATGTGTGGACACATGCGCGGGGAGGAATAATCGTTCAGTGCAGAGTAGGGTGGTTGAACACGTACCAGATGGCTTGAAAAACAGTTTAATGACCAAACTTTGATAAGTGTAGGTGACAGACATCCCTCTTTATCTATAGCAAGGCATATCATTGAAATGAATCTCGGAGTTAATTTGAAAGCAGCCTTCAAGATATTATACAGGAATAACCAGGGGGCGCGTACTGACGTTTGCCGAAGCGTTAGCCATTCGTAAACCCAAGCCCCCACTGCGCATACAAAAACAATTTGTTGTTTCGCTTAACTTACCTCGGTAATCGTCATCTGCTTATATTACCAAGACAAGTGTCACAACCTTTTCATATTCATTATGTCTGGCCCTTCTCTTTCCCTTCATTTTCATACATGAATTGATCTGGCAAGTAGATGTGTGATCAGGTTGTTCGGAATGTGTTGCGCAAATACAACACGTTTTTCAGATAATCTTTGTCTTCTAATAGCTTTATCGAAAAAATATAGTGCATGTCTGGAAGCCAAAGAATAAGAGTGAATGAAATTCTGTCATATGCCTTCACCAGTAATGTTCCATGGGACACTTCTTTTGACCAATACTCTTCCCTCACCACGTCAACGGAAAATCAAAGATTTTATCGGAGTTATTTACAATCGCAATATTAGAACTTGAGCCATTCAAAGAAACAGACCGAAACCGGGAATTCTTAAACAGTGGAGCCCTATGTTCACTGTAAACGCAGTAAATGGGAACAAACGCAAATGAGCACCCGTAAAGTGAAGTAATTTAAATAGTCATTCATTACGTCGAGTCATCATCATTGCCATTTTCTGGTTGCATCAAGATGTGGAGGATCATTCATGACGGTTTTTGGCACAAAAAGACTCACGGGTAATCATAAACCAGGAGCTAAGGACAATTGCTTGTTCCAATGCTTCTGCAGATGAAGCTGTCTGTACTTTCGCTGCTTTACACAGCATTCAAATTCCTTGGGGAAGGGATGTTAAACATCTTACATCCCACTTGTGCAGAGCCTTATTTAGGGAGTCAGTCCAGGCGAATAGTCCATACTTTTAAAAGGAACCTGATGCAGAAGAACGGGCCTAAAGCGATTCCGCCACACCAGTGACAGGTCTTGCTTATCTTCTTAATGAATAGCGGTTGGTAAGGTCAAATCTTTTTCCTTCATCTTATCATGAGAAAAGAGGTCGTTCAGTTTCGGCCTTCTGCCCTCTGGATAACGATCTACTTGTTGGTTCACCGGATTTCTTTAGTCCACTGAGGACGGGTCCCCTAAAAGCATATTTAAAGGGTCCAGGGACCGTAGTCAAATCATATCCGAGAACGGTTACTGTTTTTCTGTAGGGTGGTCAACTTGCATTCAAGGATGAACAAGGCCTTCGTGGAGATAACTGCCTCAAGGGTTGACACAGCCTAGCGGCCTAATATCCTTCTACGGAATGTGGACGAAATTCAAAGCTTTCCTGATGCACCGGATGCCAGTACAAACTTTAAGGGGGTGATGGGCAAGAAAAAAGCTATCAGGCACTTTCTGACGAAGCAGTTGTCCCTCATGTTATTCGAAACCTATATTAGACCAAGCATGAAGGTGTTAAACACGATACCTTTCCCCTCCACCTAGGACAGACATGGGTAGACTAAAGAAGGTGCGGAGAGTAGCTCCAAGATCATTTGTTGAACTAACAGGAAAAAAGTATGCAACACCTGAGATAACTCAACTTGTTGGCAGTGAGCCATCGAAAGAAAAGAGGTCACCTAGTAGCCGCCTACAAGACCATCCATCAGGTGGACCACCCCAACAGGTCAAATTTACCAGTCCAAAACCTGCACTCTCACAGCAACCCCACTCGCGCACCCCATTACGAGGAAAAAACAAGAGTTGGATGTAACTTCTCATATACGTTGCATATCGTTTTCAACGCGCTGCAGAAGAAAGTAGCCATGGTTACATCGGCTGACCACTTCAGACGACTGCTCGAAAAGTTCGTGGGCACAAAGGAACTACTACGGACATTCGGAAAAAAGCTGAAGATATGCCCATCAGCCCTAGTTTTCCGACTCCAACACCTTTATTAAGACCCATTCTTTCTTTATATTACACAAGTAGCACTTATTTCTCCGTAAGTGCTTTTCACTTCCCTTTTTCCCACTCCCCATTCCCCTATTTCCAGCACTACTTTTTAAATAGCTCCTAGTACTTGCTTGAAGATGCTTAAAAAAGCAGGAATAGCAAGAAGTTCATTGATCTTATCAGCAGCTCCATTGTTCCTCTAAGCAAACAAACCTACAATTCTCAAATGAAATTCAAATATACAAACACTACTTTTTAAGGTAAACTGTGTAGGCTTCTGCGACGACCAGGGGATCACAATGGAGGAAAAACAATCAGATTCCAGGATTTTGAAATCAGACCTTCGAAGCAACAAGTTTCCTCTAATCTCACTATAGATGTTGATGCTGCATACTGTTGTATTATTCAGGCGCGCTGTTTGGAGTGGGCGCTACGAAATGGTTGTGTCAGCATTATATATTCTAGACAACAAAGGGAAAGTCCTCATTCATAGAAATTATCGTGGTGATATTGAGACAAGCGCCATAGAAAAATTCATGCCTGTCGCGATGGAAAGAGAAGAGGAAGGTAGCCTTATCCCAGTTTTGCAAATAGGTGAAATAACCTTCACATACGTCAAGTACAACTACCTGTATTTGGTATGCTTAACCCGTAAAAATGCCAATATTGCAATGGTTCTGGCATTTTTATATAAACTTGTCAACGTAAGTCTTAATCTCTCCTAACTCCACCACAGATATTCCTTGAATATTTCGGAGAGTTTGAAGAAGAAAGTATTCGCGATAACTTCGTTATTACGTATGAGCTGCTAGATGAAATTATGGATTTTGGATATCCACAGACAACTGACACAAAGATACTTCAGGAATACATCACTCAAGAAAGCCACAAACTGGAAGTGGCGCCGCGTCCACCAATTGCTGTAACGAATGCCGTTTCATGGCGTTCGGAAAACGTGAAATATCGAAAAAATGAAGTATTCCTAGATGTTGTTGAGTCAGTAAACCTGCTGGTGAGTGTAAATTACTTTTTGAGACGTTAGGTGAGCTCCACTGGTAATGTCTTACGTAGTGAGATTGTTGGGAGCATAAAACTTCGTGTTTATCTCTCTGGAATGCCCGAACTCCGTTTGGGAGTTAACGACAAAGTCAGATTCGAAAATATTGGGCGTAAGTAGTCCAGTTTGTCCTAAGTTTTTCTACTATGTATAGGTGATAAAGGAAAAGCTGTGGAACTAGAAGATGTGAAGTTTCACCAGTGTGTTAGGTTGTCAAGATTTGAAAATGATAGAACAATCTCATTTATTCCCCCTGATGGCGAGTTTGAACTTATGTCCTATAGACTTAATACGCATGTAAGTAAATCGTTTTTGTTCATTAGTGTGTTCATGTTCATTTTCTATTGGATGCAAAGCGTTAACTTATCTATTCAACTGTTACGAAGTTCATGTCTTTTGACGGTGCATGTCGAAACATGTTTTTAGGTATTTGTATTCTCCGGAAAAAATGTGACCTGCGTTCATATTTATGTTTCACACCAAGAAAGTCGGCTTAACATCTGCGTTTTACTTTTTTTTAAGATCGTGGGAAAACGCATGAACTTACATTATATAAATGCAGACATTTAGCGCCAAACTGTTAGGCTAACGAGTTTAACTGCTGCTTCGTGAATATTTTCAAGATGTTTATTGGAAAGTCCAGGTAAATGTTTTTAATCATACTAGTAGCTTGCTTCTCATCATATCGACTTCCAACCGGTGGGTCACGGGCTTGAACCCATTTCCGTCTACCGAAGTTTGAGCAGGCAGTTAGTATCACTATTCTTCACATAATAGGTGTAGCTCATTAGCTACTGCACAGAAGTGCATATGGTAACAGTGCTTTTCGACTTCGATATCTCGTAGAGTATGCCGACGTGAAATTATACTGAAGTGTTCGGGTCGCAGAGTGCGCCAACTTGTTTCCGTGTTCTAGCTACCCAAAATGAGGAAAAGTTGAAACCAGTGAACTTACTGACTACTGAGGTGAATAATAATGATAGACTACATGTACAAGGTACTTTAAAGCATTCCTCATGGCATCAACTGAGTTAGTCAATTAAGGTGACTGAAAGTCATCTGAATTTTAGTGGATCGACTTGTTATACTACATATGCAGTTCGAATCATACCAATCCTAAGTAATTGGACTCTGCAGATATACTGATAAAATCGTATTTCCCAGCAGACGGTCAGATGGTTCTCTGACGTTTGTACAACCTCGTGAGGTCAGCTTTCTTAAACGATCTCATCATTTTATATCTCTAACTCAAGTGGCAATCAGTGTAAACTAGTAATAGATACCGAAAAACAGTTTGTGCTTTCTAAACGTGATTACTAGTGGCTCGAAAGTAATTTTGGACGTACAATTAATGTTCTCCAATGTTACTAAGTGGAGTATTTGGTCCCGTTCATGTTATGTTTCGTTTACTTTTAATTCTGTTTATTCTTTTTTCTATTCCCATGTTAGAAATTGAGGACGAATTGTAGTAGATTCTATGGCGTATTTGCTTGGGCTTGTTTAAAGTTTCCACATCTTCGTACTGAAATTTATCTATTCATAATTAAATTGATAAATAATTACTCCTACAGCAGCAGTTAGTTCCCTACTATAGCTGAGCTACTTCAAGCAGGTCTGGATTTTTAGGGATTTCAGAATAAATAATATTAAAAGTAATTCATCCTGAAATGTAGTCAAGTTCGAAATGGGACTTGGCATTACTGCGTAAAAGTCCAAGTTCCCACACCTTATCACCACACTAAGGTAAGTTGCACCAAAATGAGAGAAATATGGAAGAAATTAGTCAGAAGTGGTGGAAGGCCGTTAAGCAAAAACAAGAAGGACTGAAACAATAATGACATTCACTATAACTATTCAGATGATGATAATGTGTGGACCCATCTGTACCATTGAGATCGACTCTTAATCATATCATATAGGCTCCAATCACCAATTTCGGTATGCACTTCCCTACGCGTGTCAGATTATCAACCACTTGACTTTAGTGGTTGACGCAGCGTTTAAGTCCAACCTGTTACCTTTTTCTGGTTTAAATCTACTTCAGTCAACGTTGTACTACTGGGCAAGTGGTAACTAGGCATGCATAACACATGCCCCAGCCACCTGAGCTGATGAAAGTTCACGACCTCAACTGACTTATTTTTCTAAAACTACGCCTAACTTATGCATTACTGACGTGATGGCACCACGACACACGATCTATGCTACAAAGGCAACAGTGACCGAACACCTATGGCCTTCTCATGTCCTCTACCTTTAATGACCAAGTTTCAAAGCCAAATAGTAGAATAGAACAGTGCAGTACACTCGACCCTTAATAGGCAGTCGAGCATTATGAGAGAAAGGGTCATAAATAGTGTAATTTGGCAGAGGCCAAATAAGCGTATCGTATCCCTACAAAGGTTTCGTTAGTCACTGACGCACCAGAGCTTGTCTGAATTATAAAGTGAGTAGTTTGGTCAACGCGCTGAACAACTTCACTTTCTATTTCTAGATAGAGTGCCAACACAGACCAGTACTGAAGCAACAGTTGGCATTTGGGTGATGAGAAACATCGCGAGAATTCCTGAGTCGCCACTGACGGTGTTTCGAAGACTTCATCTTCAATCAAGCCTCCGGAACCGTAGTGTTTACTCGCTATTTCACACCTAGTCTATTAGTTTAACGTAAAGTAATATATCTAACAGAAAGCAGCATACAATAATTACCTAGCACTTCTGACCAGGAAAAATAAGGCTGAATTCTCCAACAATTTCATGTAAATAAGTCGTTATTTCTCGGTTTCTAATGTTTTAAATTATTAGTCTTCCGAGAACCTGTTGTGCAACTACTGTTGTAAGGAGTCCTATGTCTAGTTCCTTTAGCAATTTTTTGGGGCTCAAAGCGGCACATATGTGTGTGCGAGCAAGCAACACTGAATATACCTCCTACAGAAGCAACCACAGTTGGATAGATTGGCGTGATCTCAGCGAATTATCAGAAATAATATCCGACTTCCAGTTATGTACAGTTTCCACTGGTTATTATAACAAGTGTAACTCAACAACCGTGTGCAGGTCTGCACACTGGACAATGAGTCGTATTTACATTATGAAGGCCATTCAAACATCAGTAGACGGAGTTGGGTTTGAACTCGTAATCCATTGGTTGTAAGTCCACTGATAATACCAATGAGCGCCAACTCTTGTTAGTTATTCACTTACCGTGACAGTTATTTATGCAGGAAACAGTATGACTATGTAGTCTTGCGATAGTCTAGCGGTATTTTTATCATTTTTTCTCTGTAATTTCATTTGAAACAATGGTTACTTTTAGTCCACCCGCAAAATAAATATCATTGTTGTTGTATTTCGTAAGTAGTCTACTGGTCCTAGTCACATTCCATTATGTGCAGTATTCTAACACCAAGTATGCTACTGACTTTTCCAAATACTGCTAGTACCTAAAATATCTATTCAATGGCTACGCCTCGTTCAGTAATCAAATTTATTGTTGCAATCAATCTGAATATTTTTCCAGTTACAGACACTCTTCTTCATGGTTATTAATTTGGTCAAACAAAAGTGTAGTGGTTGAAATTACCAACTGTATTTAATTTGTAATCACCTATTCAGCAACATATCCCCTTAGTGGTACACTTTGTACAGAAATATTTCTACCGAGGTTCTGATCTACTAACCAGGTCATTCTTAACTGATGCGCGAACGACGAAACTGAACTAAGTGCACTCAACCATTTTGTTCACATTTTTGCACTAGGCAATGAGCCACACCTTTTGTTTCAGGGCTAGCAATACTATCAGGTTCCCCAAACCTCAATAGGTGGAGGTGATGCATATTTAAGTCGTATATTTTTTAGTTCGAGTAAGGTCTTTTGCATTATCTTAGATATCAGCTAGATAATTCATAGGCGTCGCAAGTGTTCACCACCCTGAAGGTTTTAAGACTGTCATGTGTCGTTTATCAAGGCTTGAACAATTTATAGCTCTACTCCAAGCAACCTCTATCATTAATGAATCGGTGTGGGGCTGATTGACTTTTATTTCGTCTACGTACTTTTTGTTCCTTATCAATACCACTTTTGTTACTTTCTCTTCGCACGTTTATTACATCGCTTCGTTGGTTTTGAATCCAGAAAGCTGGATGGATACTCACTACTATGGGGGTCTCACTTTACTTATACTTGTCCGTCTTTAATTCCCCCTTAAAACCTAGGTTAAACCTCTAATATGGGTGGAGGCAATTATCGAAAAACATGCTCATAGTCGCATGGAGTACATGGTGAAAGTAAGTTCATATTATTACCGTTTTCATTTTTTACTTACAATCCTAAATTTCTTCTGAAACAGATCTTCTGGTCATCACTAATGATTATTTTAGAGGGTAGCTATTAATAAGGTTACTATTTATGATTGATGGAGCACCCAATAAATATAGCAAGTTCAGTGTCTTTGGAGAATAGGTTGGACTGTATCATAGTCAATAGAATCAATATTGGGGTTGTCGTTGAGTCCATGAATTTTCTCAGCTGTTTCAGTAAAAAATTTCTCCTGATGTTACACGACTCTGTCCTGGCCCAGAAAGATCAGGACACTGCTCATCACTTGTCGTACACCAAGTAGTTGAATGAATAAACGAAATACACTCAGCAACGTTGTACATATTCGTGCGGTAGGCAATGGGCCGCACCTTGTGTGTGAGGGCAAATGATAATACCTGGCTGCCCAAATCCCAGTAAGTGGAGCAGGACTTGAATATACACCAACCAACTGCTCTCCTAGTTGGATAAAGACGAATAAGCTACCAGACCTTTAAAAAGTGGTGAACAACAATATCTTTAACTGTTGACAATCGGTATTCACATACAAATACGAAGTTTTCTAAATAAATTTTCCAAACGTTTGTTGTCTAAATAACGATTCAGCTCTTTAGTAAAACTACCCAGTACTTGTAGTTGTATGTTTATAGTTGTCTGTTTCAAACAGCTGGGCATAGCAGTTCACTTATTATATCCCTCAATTATCCTACTAAAGGAGTTTGGTTATCATCGATAATTTTAATCATCCTCCAAGGTTTTGTTTTAATGTAGAAAATGACTACTAAAGTTAGTGACAATTGGTTGATAACATCGTAAAATGATGGGACAAAGAAGAGGTAGTTACTGACTAAGCTATAGGTTTCTTCTACTGGTAATTCCTATAAACTGAACGGAAACCCAGAAACAAAACAGGTGACCAGTGATTTAAAAATGACTTCCAATGAAATAGACCATATTCTTACATTTGACACTAAAGAAACGTGATTAGAAACTAGTTTTTAGGAAAAAAATTCTCTCAATTAGTTTAAGCTGTGAATACTGGATTCAATTCATAAACAATGTATGGTGTTCATTATGGACTGATATACATTATTTAAATTTATCATACACTCATCCTATTCTTCTCTATTTGTGTTTGCTAAGCAATAATGGTGCGAGAGGCACTTTTAATGGAAAGAATATCACTTTTAAGCATCCATGAGATAATGTAGCAACAGATTCAGTGTGTTGTTGTGAGAATAAGAATCATTATCATAGCCACTGGACTTCAAATGTGTGACCAAAACTGAATGCTCAACAATGGGCCATAAATTCCACCTTAGATTTATGCCTGACTTGGTGCAGTCAGCATTGCTTACTGTTTTTCAAGAACTAAGATTCAAAACTTCATAACTCGTTACCTTGCTGTGGTCACCGAAAACCATTTCCCAAGCATTACTGCCGCTGGTAGTAGTTTCACATTAAAGTAGTACGACTTTGGTTACTTCCTCTCATCTTTTTGGCAACATTGACTTCATCCACAAGCGACAAACTAAATACATGTAACCGTCTTAAGTTTGTCAGTACCAGTATCGACATCTGATAACTAGCTAAGAGCTCGCAGCTAGTAGACAGTTATTATGTATCTGAAATTACGTCGATAAAGTTGTCGATGAATCTGTGATGCACTGGTCGATACACTCAACTTCCAACCAGGTAATCATGGAACCCTGTTCCGTCTACCGAAATGGGGGCAGCCAGGTAGTATCATCAACCCTCACACACTGGGTGTGACTCATTGCCTAAAGCATGCATGAATGTGCATTTAATTCCTGAGTGCATTTTGGTTTTTTTTTCCAACGTCACTAAGTTAGTCTTTTAACCTAAGATGTTGTTAATATGGAGTTTTATAAGTTGAATATAACTATATTTTCCATCTACAGTTTATCTGAGTGCAATAAGATGCTGTAGAACTGGTTAGAGTTTACTATAGCTGCAATTTATCTCATATAGTAGTTAAATCTGTTAATTAACTCTAAGGTAATATAGTTATTTTTTATATTTAACGACCTTATCACCGACAAAATTAGCTCAGATAAAAAAGTACTATTTTACAACTTTAACTGCATATGTGTACAAAGTATTAACATACTGAGATTTTGATTGTAACAAAACCATTGAATTGCTTTATGTCTTTGAAAAATGACTGGTTATAATAGAAAGCATAACCACTTATGATGAAACCACTTGATTAGTTGTAGTTATTTATATATCTCATAGCATCCCATAGCATCTTCACAGAGAAGCAATATCTTCCAACACAGTGAATCGATTGTTTTCGACTATAGGTTGCACACATTTGTCAACCAATTGCTTAATGAAAATGCGGACAAAACAGTAAATTTGTGTATCCAATTCTACACGATCGTGCCAATAGATGAAATTTTTACCAAAATAAATGACCACAGTACAAAAAGAATCACACATTCCTGATGTGTTTTCAGTACCAATTTTGATAGCTAACAGTTTTTCTACTTTCTGGTGGTGTTCTTTGGCGTGAATGTAATTTTCAATTTATATCTGTTCATTTCATCATGAAAATAACTTCTTTATGAAGTAAATACTGATAAAGTCGCCTAACCTGGTGACGAAATGTCCAGCAACAAATCTCAAAGCATGAAGAACACCATTTCTGTTCCATTTTGTTCAAGTGATCTTCTATCCAGTGGGACAATTAATAGGAGAACACTAAACAACTATCATTCTAATCCCTGAGCTATAAATCTTCATTATCTCAAAAATAACACTCCCAGAAGTATTCGTTACACACGTAAAGCTGTGGATTAGTAATATGTTGTCATTCTGTTACCAGTCACTGAGTTCATAGATGTAAACTGATACCATTCATCTTAGGTAAAACATTTGGGTATTTTAGTTAACTTTTATATTATAAAAATATTTCACAGATCAATTCAAACGCTAAGGTTTTTTCGTATATTGGTTACTGCTTATGTGCATTTTCCTTTCGATTCAGTTTTTGTCCTACATAATGTCCTGATTTTATTTCATATTGAGGGAGTAGATTACACAGCATTTCGTCGTTTGATTTTTTCCAAGAAAAATTCTAGGCATGTAGATACAAACATTCTCACGTATCTCATTTTTATTTCCCGATTCTTCACTCCACTCATCTCTTGAAAAGGCTAAAGCACAATTCAAACGACGAAGTACAGCAAATCAAGTTGAAATCCACATTCCAGTTCCATCAGATGTCGATTCACCAAGATTCAAGACAACTATGGGAAGTGCAAAATATGTTCCAGAGACAAACGTTGTTGTATGGACAATACGTAGTTTTCCCGGTGGTAAAGAATACATCCTTAGAGCTAGCTTCGGGTTACCTTCGATAGAAAGTAGTCAAGATGTGGAGTCTAGACCACCAATAACTGTAAAATTCGAAATACCATATTTTACTGTTTCAGGTTTACAGGTTCGTGGTTTTTGTTTAAAACAGAATTATCATTATGCTTATGAATTCAGTAACCGTTTATATGCTGTTGGCCACATCTTCAAGGGCTAATTTTGTTTTTCTTACTACCTTGGTCAGAATGATCGTTTAGTTCTCTGAACCACACCTCACAACAGAACCACGTATACATAAAGGATATGAGATGGTCCCAGGTTTCCAACTGCCATTGTTATTTGCACGCCTCGAAACCATTACTTTGGTAATCTAAATGTTAGATGTGGAGTTTTAGGTAGAAGAGAGATAAGTCAGTTAATACGGTTTTAGGCCACCGACTGTGGTGGTTGGGACGTCTGCCTAGTCACCATCTACCATAACACGCTGTTACTTCAAGTCGGATTAGGCTGGAATAACGTCGCGGGTGGCTAAACTAAAGTATGGGATCGGTTCATTAAGTTTCTAACTGTTGGTATGAACCGTGTAGGAAGGGTTTAGGTTTTCTGATAGAAGTCAGCATGACAACCGAAGTCGATGATTGGAGACTTCAGATGATATGGCTCAGAACCAATCGCAGTGGCACAGATTCTCTGCCTACTTATCTTCATTCTAACCGTTTTGTTTTATTCCGCTTTCTCTTATAGCTTTTCACTACTTTCGATCGTGCCCTCGTAATTTTTTATCTTCATTCTTTCTGCCTTTTATATTGATAAGCTGGTTTGAGTATGTTATAGTAGTGTTCACCTCACTATCCCATACTGATATGAACTGACCGATGTAGATCTCTTCATTTTGTTGATTAGTGCATATCGAATGTTGCTTTTAGACTTCACTCAACTTTGAGAAATTAAACATGGATATGTATTCAAAACCCAATCCTGAAGAGTACCAGAGTTTGACTACTATGACTAACTATGCAGTAGCTTCTGCAGTGTATGTGTATGCTTCTTTGAGATTGCACATACTCTACTCTGGATAACGTTAACAACTATGAAGCCTAGGTTTCACAGATTCTCTTCAACTACTCAAGATTCAGTTCACAACGTTGCTGAAAAGTGACTGAAACATTATTTCATGAGGTTTCAGACGGTTTACCGGTATTCTTTGCTCCCTTTACTAGCAAAATATGATTTTCGTTTTTACACTCCAAGTTATTTATCATGTTATTATTTTTCTTTTGGGTTCCTAGGGGAACATAAGGCTTCAGTAGCACGCCTCCACTGCACTCTCTTCTCTGCAGTCTTTTCAACCTGTCGCCACGACTGCCCACAAGCTTTCATTTCTTCCTCACATGGTCTCCTCCATATCACCCTCAGCTGGGACGCCCAACTCGTTGTTTCCCCTTTGGATTCCACTCGACGGCCTGGCCTGGCGCGTGATGTCCTTACTCGGCCTTCTCAGTGTATGCCCAATCCATCTCCACTTTCTTCTTCTGCATATTTGTTGGGTAATAGGTTCTCGGTTGGTTCGTCGCCAGCCAGCCAGAGTTCCTTGTTGTTTATTCTTTCTGGCCATCTGATTTGATCTTCAGTATCGAGTAAGGGTAGGATGCAGTTGTTGATATATGTCTGTAGTTTGTTGGAAATGTTTTTCGTGATACGCTAGGTTTATTAACCATATAGAAGCACTGACTTGACTGACATTGGTGTTGAAAATCTGGATGTTGTTCACGCTTTATGCTGAGTGCAGTTGATCTCCACACTGGTTTCAGGTTAATGAACGCTCGTCTTGCTCTTCCGATCCTGGCTTTGAACATCCTCATCTGTGCCTGTGCCGCCTGTAGTTGAAACGATGCTGCCTAGATAGGTGAAAGACACTACTTCCTTTACATTTCTCCCGTTGATGGTGATTGGTGCTTGTTGTTGATGCTGTTGTTGGTAGGGTATGTTCATCACCTCCGTCTTTTCCACATTCACTTGAAGTCCCGTCTTCGCTGCCTCTTCTGTCAACTTGTTAGTTTTCCCCTGTAGATCTTCGAGTTTGTGCGACAAGACACTAGAGATAAATCACCGCCGAAATCCAAATCTTCTAGGCTCTTTTAATCGCTCAAACACTGTATGCCCATCTTCTCGCTCCTCCAAGTTGATGTCGAAAATGGCGCTCATTCGGTAAAATTTAAATCATTTTTCAATTTACTGTATGTAATCGTTTTTCACTGCCACCAGCTGTTGCTTAGTTTCTGCGATTCTATGTGAAACTTGGTTCGGTTTCCTGTAGTATCATTCTGTTTTTTCTTTTTGGTTATTGGTTACAAAACAAGTATATCAGTTTGTGTTTCTGTGGCGAATATACGCAAGAAATTTGACACATGGATAGGATAAGTATTCTGCGTTGAATTCCCGTCACTTTAACCTTTTTTTCGAGATGAACTATTAACAAGTTAGTTAGGCCCTCGATGTTGGTATTGCAGTCTAGTGGAGTAAAATACTCTAGCAATTTTATACACTACTTACATCAGCTGATCACACAGTGATAGCGCCATGTGTAGTCCAATTTTTAGGATAATCTATGCAGTTGCACAGTCAATATCACACAGAATCAAACAATGGATACGAAGTTAAAACTGAGTGGTAGTAATTATTAACTCAAGAATATATGGTACTTCATTGGCCTTGATTCAAAGGGGGTTATTAGTCGAGATTTTGGAATAGGGTATGTAACATTAGACATCGTAGCAAATATGTGCGTTCTTTTTTGTGTTAACCGATCGAAATGTAGCAACTTGGAATGATCAACCTGACAGATTAAAAGCCTATAAGTACACCAAAGAACTTAATATTATATATACACCCATGAGATAGATTCACCGTCTTCACTTCCGGTAGATTAATAACGTAAATGGTGAATTAAACGTTAGTGAAATATCACTCATCAAAAAAATATCTGATTTGAAAATTATGTCAACAAGAAATCTAATTTTCATAACATTCCATCTACTTTTTTTTAAAAATATCTGTTAAAAATTGAAATTTCTCTCATCTTCGTTTTTCACACCATATATTAACTATTCAGGTGCATCATTTAAAAATTATTGAGAAATCTGGTTATCATGCGCTTCCATGGGTTCGTTATATCACACAGAATGGTGATTATCAACTACGTACTTTGTGAAAAGCTGAAAGACAATAATATTGCTCTTTGTGTTTCTACCTGCAATTATGTTTTTATTTCTTAACTGTTAGTTGTTGTGTATGAAAAATACGCTAGGGCTGTCGACGGGTGTATTGTTTACCTACTATTTGCATATTTATGAAAGGTGTATTCGCTTCTTGTGTAATTCTACCGATTTAAAGTTCATCAAACAAAATTATTCTTGAATGGGTTCTTGTTGACATTTCCTTGTGTGTTTATCCACCTCTTTTCTGCTGTATTATACATGTGTTTACTCTATGAACAATAAGTGACAAAAATTTATATGGCTGTGAAGTACTCATAATATCATTACTATCAATATTATGATTATCATTATAACCAGTTCATCTGTGGTAGGCATGATTTTTTTTAACTAAAGAAGATAATTTGTCACAATCATATCTAATATATTCAATGGCTGATGATATATATTTTATTCGTTTTTTCGGAGGGCGAAGGAGTTGGCATGTCATACATCTTTTATCTGACATTATTACTATTAGAAAAATATTCTCGAAGGATAAACATTTTCAATTTGTTTACCTATGTTATATATTATCGTTAATTGAAAAACAACCTACTGCCTTTTAGATGAATTCTGTGAATTGCTAATGGTTTTGAGGGTAGATGTCTGTTGGTGGATCATATGGGAGGATAATCTCTTGATGCCACTTTGAAATCATTCAGATTCAAGAGGGAGATACGATTCGATACGCTAAACTCGAATATTATATATATATATATATATATATATATATATATATATATATATATTGTGTGGCTGGTTACCCAAACCTTGGTAAGTGGGATGGAGTTCAGACTCATGACCCATTGGCTGGAAGTCGTCCACCTAAGTCAGTGAACCATAGCTTCACTGAGTTATCGAGGTATGCTCTGAACCGTGAGAACCATTCGGTCAAGCGAATAAGCAGTACTTATTTCATGGTTACCATTGCTAACAAGTTTCTTTCGACATTTATAATTTAGTCAGTTTACATCTTATTTAGCAGTCTGAGCTTGCAAAACATCATTTACGACAAAAATTCACACTCCGCTAGCATTTGTTTGTTACTAGATTCTTCGAAATTATAATTATCAGTTTAACTATCTGAAATAGCCATGGTTTGGCAGACTTGCGTTATTGATACTGATTGATGATTGAAGGTGGAATGAAAATCTGGGTCACGAACCACCGGCTTCCATGCTATTGGCCTGGTGCTCTACCAACTAAGCTACTAAACCCAACTGCTGATGAAATTTCAATTTAATCGCCATGGGTTTTGCCTGGTCGCCATGTGAACTCGTGATGCACTACTGTCCCTTTTTAATTCAGCTCGATTTGGACTGAGGTGAGAAGTTTTGGCTGAGCAGCCAGCGTGAACACAGTGAACGGACAGTCACACGTCATCAGTTCACATAGCAGTCGGGAAAAAACCCTTGGCAACTGAACTGAAATTAAGATCGGTTCTGCAGTTGGGTCTCATAGCTTTGTTTGCAGAACACCGAAACTTTAACCCACAGGTGGCTGGTTCTAATCCTGCGATGACCCGGGCTTTCACTTCACCTTCAATCATCGCCCAGACTTAAATTTATAATTAACCTTCAAGTCTAGCTTCCTACACATTTTTAGATAAATTTTTGTGAATCATAGTGTTGTCTTCGGTACATCACAGGTGACTCTTATTTTTGAGCACATGTACATGAATTATTTTGTTAGGCAATCGAGTCATGGATTCACGTTCATAGTCAGGGGAGGGGAATTATAAATATCATCACACAAGAAGCGGATATCGTGCACTAGTGGCTTAGTGGATAACGCTCTGGCGTTTGAAGCGGAGAGTTCTGGGTTCTAGCCCCATTAGGAACAACAGCACTCACTAAGGTCCGGGTACACCCAGCTGACGGGTACTGGACAGACCGAAACGCGCGTCTTGGGTTCCCCTGTTAGTCTGTACAAAAGATTCACATTTATAAACTGCATCACACACAAGTAACGGGAATAGTTTTATTCCGCTAAGAGAGTCTACACGTCAGTTTTCCGCATCACTGTCATCAAATGTTTCATTGAATTCGTTGTTACTTTGTTACGGCTTCATGATTTATAAGCAAATTCAGAATAATTGGCTATGTAAGCGATTATACTGCGTATGTAATGCTATAAAGGGATAGCCTAATAAGACGATCGGAGGGTGCGCATTAAAGAAGGATGCAGCAAACAAAGACCGAAACTAGTCTGATAAAATGTTACTCATGTTTGGGAATAAAATAGGTTTAGAGGATGTGATAAAATTATCTCATATTACAGGGTTGGGGGAATATTTCCAACGTGGAAGTTGAAAATTGGGTCACATGTAGGAATTTGTCAATCCCAGATGGGAGCGAAGTAGTCGTAGTGGCAGTACCCGCTTTTTCTGAACACATAACTCAGGTTGTTTAATCCTGATTGACACTGCTTCTGCAGTTTGGAGGATTCAGAGACGGTTTCTCTTTACCATGTTGATGAGAACCAACCAAATAATTCACATCTGTATGGTTCGTCTGAACTAAGCGCACTTATATGGAACTGGTCATAGTCTTTATCACACCTTTGCTTAACCAAACTGACAGGTGTTCATGAGCACATAAAATTAGATTCCTAGTTCAGCGGCCGACTAACTTGCTTCACAGAAGCAGTCGAACTGAGAAACAACAAGTGACCAAACAAACAAACCATCTTTCTATCTCAGTGTCAGCATTGAGGATAGTTTGTTGTTTGCCAGCATTTATACTTCTTTAAATTAATGTATTGTTTATGAATCAGTATCTCTCTAGACAAGTCACCCCTGAATTGTACCCGAATGTATAGAGGTTTTTTGCGAGCCGTTGGAAAGTCTTGTTTAGCTTTTTGTGCAGTAATATGTTTATGAATTTATCCGGTTAGCCATTTTCGATTAGTCTGTTGTGTAAAGTTGTTAATTCCTCCTCAATTGTATCTTCCAAACACAGCTTTTATTCTGTAACCTATAGTTTTCATCAAATTTCGCTTGTACTGAAGAGCGATGCAGTTAAGAAAATGTATGTGATATTCCTTCCGCGTACTTTTCCGAGAAAACTTTCCCTTTATCGACCCATTCGTTCGTCTTGAGAGAAGAAGATTGAGAAAAGCTATCTTGCCTTATGACTCTTCCTTACACGTGAACTTTATCGCCGGATATACTGCATTGAATCTGCTGAGTAACTCTAACCTATCCGCATTGGTTTCGCACAGGATGAATGTATCATCAGTACATCGACAGTAAAATTCTGTGATGGATCGCTCAAGTAGACCTTTCTCTAGTGTCGATAGGAAAAGACCCGCTAATATAAATTCTAACATCTGAACAGTTTTCTTTCAACTATTCACATGTACGGTTGGCTACCTCTGCAAGAGCAACAGTGAATTCAATTTCGTCTTTCACACTACGTTTTACTAGCTGTTTTTGTAAACGTTGCAGAACAGTGACTAGCCATTCGGCTAGGGCATGATAAGGGGAATTTTGGATGTCAATAATTGATCTTAACAGTACTCCTGGTTTATATATCTCGGACAGGCCACAAACTTTTGATACCCCATGAGTTTTGGCACACCATACATGCTTGATGAGATTATATGGTGCTCTTCCATTTTCTCAGATTTAGTCCAATTCCTTTCTATTTTACCTCTTTAAATATTTAATTTCTGAGATTTTATCTTCTGTCAGTATTTTATTCATCTTGCTTATGCAGTCATTCCCTTGTCCCTACAATGTGAGATAATTTTATCACATTCTCTTAACTTATTTTGTTCCCTAACATGATTAACATTTTACCAAATTATCAGCTATATGTTTATCGCGTCCTATTTTCAAAGACGTTCACCTATTGTTTTATTAGACCTTATAATCGACATAAGACTTTTTTGAAGAAAATCCTTCAGCTACGCAATACAATTAGCGAACTTTTAAACGAAATCCCAGTATTGTTGAAACAAAATTACACAATATGGACAAATAACTGTAGGACCTGAAGGAAAAGTTATCGAAAAGAGTATTCTAATGAGCACTGGATAGTAAGAAAATTCAGAAGTTTTTGGGGACTTTATTGATTTTCAGTTGGTATTCTTCATGGACTGACATCAGTTGAAGAACCATTGGAAACTTGGGAGCGATAGGGACTTGCTTCGAGATGGAATCTCCCGAAGTTCTAATGAGAAGTGACTAGTGGGGTAGACCAAGTGGGATATGAGGACAAACGCTCAACGACAGCTATGGATGGAAGTCGCGCTGTGTAGCGAAATGACAGAAGTAGAAAGATATGAACTGTTCGATTCCGATTCACTGGCTCAGTGGTAATGCGTTGGCTGTAGAACCTGAAGGTCCTGGGCTCGATCCCTGGGAGGGTGGTCGTGGGTGCGCACTGCTGGGGAGTCTCATACTAGGGTGAAACACCTGTCTAGCGCCGTCAAGTTTCCATTGGCTCTCCAACTGATATCAGTTCCTGATGGATACCAACTTGAAATATATTCGCAATGAATATTTACGCCTAATGGTGTTCTTTAATTTTGGCAATATTTCGAGCAAAAATGACTACTCTGTGATCACACCAATCATTGGAATTATTTGCTCTAAATATTACCAAAATTAAAAAAACATCATTATGCGTGAATAATAATAGATTGATTACCTCCAAAATGCATAGTTTTTCATGGATATAAGTAGGATTTCTTACTTAGCTTTAGAATTCATCGAACCCTTATTAACTTACTTGACGCTGACTTGATTCATTTGAAATCTAGTAGGTTATTTTCTTAACTGACGCTTGGACCCTTTCTATCTATTATCCACTAGTATATAGAAGTGCAATGATAACCTCTTTTTAACTGTAGCTATTTGTTGTTATCATAACTTGTAATCCTGTATTCATCCTCAATGATCACTTCAATTAGTTGGATTTCACAGACTATAATGACATGAAATATGCCTCCTGGATTCTGCTGCCTGCTGCTACCAAGTATTACCACCACCAGACTATTCAGATTTGCCCGACCAATTAGACTGCTGATCATGGAGTGGATTATTATCGTATTCGCTATCATAGATATCCATTTGGTAGATAACAGTTCCAAGAGTAAGATAGAAGTTTTACTTAGCCAACAAATGAACCATCCATAGCTGTTATCTGATAGATATAGATTCTGAGTTTTCTTCTTTTCTATTCATACCATGATGGGATGAAAATCAGTAGGATATGTGCCACACAATTTCCAGATAATGAATAATACCATTTGAAGACAAAATCCAACTAATTTTGGTTAAGAAGTTGGATTTGATTCCTTGCATTTAAAACTCAACTAAGTTGAAAATATACTCTTTGTAAGCTAGTGAGGTAAGAAACAGTTGTTACGCTGACCGCAAGCAATAAAATATTTCGTTGGTTTAGCGGTATCATGTCTTCCTGTCTCTTTATTCCTGGCTAAAAAATTAATCACAATCCGAAGAATCGGTAGCCCATTTTTAAAACTTTTTTTTGTGAAACATGAATTAGAAGTTCTCACACTCTTATTTTTGCGTGATGACTTATGCCTACTGATAACTTAT